CGCTATGAGGTTCACCTTCAAGGCTGAAATCTCCAGAACGATGTTTGTTAAGCCATTGCCGTACAGTGCTTTCTTTAGCACTATTGGGCCCCCACACCTGGTTAATTTGTTGAGCTGTTTCGATTGCGGATTGCCCCAATTTATAGTCGAAGAAAAAAATCGTCCGAAGTGCTCTTTTCACATGCTTGAAAAAATCTTGAAAAAAGGGGGTTTATCAAGCAATGGTGAAACGGCAATTATACCATCAGATAGCGCAAGAAATTCTCTACAGGATGTGCTACTGAGAAGCAAGGCAGAATGAGTTTTTAATCAGCAGTGAATGTACAAAAAATAGGTGCACAAAACGCTGAGAACTTTCCGGACAACCTAATAAAGATGCTAAATAGGGAATTTTGAGGGGGAGGTCCCTACTAAAAATTTTAATGAGAGGACGTGCCCTAGGCGGAAAGTGCTTTCCATATCGGAGTTGAATGGGCATAGGAACGCAGCCGCTGGCGTCCCGACAACGGCTGCGTTCCTATGCCCATTGAACTCTTCTATACAGACGTCTCTGCTTCCTTCCGTCTAGACAGTCACAGCCATCTTGCGCTCGCAGCTACGCCCTTTCTTACGCTCAGATAGGGACTGTACCTGCTGAACTTGAAAGTGTATTTCTGTTGTAAAGTTATGCTTGTGAGAATTCCATTACTGTTGTCAGTTTTACTGCTTAATGATAAGTGATCCAGGCTGATGAGCGAGCTACAAGGCACCTAATGAAGTCTCATGTGCCGGATTTGAATCGTCTTATCGACGAGCTCGATGTTGAAGTGTCTTTGGTGACCGTTAATTGGTTACTCACATTGTTTGCGTCTGTTTTCCCAACAAAAACATTGATACGTGTCTGGGATTTCATATTCTATACGGGAAGCGTCAGTATATTTCGGGTATGATTTTATTCTCTTTACACGAATTTGTTTATTTTTTCAGAGTGAGAGGTTAGGTTAGTGGGACTTTACGTCCACGTTGCGGGACCTGGGCAAATTATCCAATATTTTCTAGCTTGTCGACTCGAGTTCGTAGTTTTTCGGTGTTAAACCAGGTCCAGGTGTAAGAGCCGCGCGCGACGCCGTTCGCAGCGCTGCCCCTGCCGCTTCGCTGCAAAGTGGATGTGATGTCCCACACCTAAGGCATCACAGGCAGACAATATGATAGCAATATAGAGTCGAGTGTTGTAATAAGGATTTCCGTTTTATTCTCGTTC